AAAAAAAAAAAAAAAAAAGAAATAGATTGGAACATCAAAGACTCAATGATCTTGTCTATGTTACTTATGATTTGCAGTTGAAGAATAGGTCTATAATCTAAAACTCTTTACTATGTTTCAAGTTTATTTTTAATGCCTTTTTTATCAATAATGTTTTCTTAACATAACTAATTTTCATGTACAGCCTTACAAACTTTATTATAAGAAAAGATCATATGATCCAGTTGATTATAAGTGCATTGACAAAACAGACTTTTGGATAGATGAAGAGATAACACCTCAGGATTTCGAGTATGAAGAATTAGATAATGCTATTTATGAAGAAGATGCAATTCTCAATGTTAATGATCATGAAAATGATACGTATGTTCAAGGTAACAAGTTTAACTATTTAAACTCATTGTTGTAATATTTATTATGTCAGAACTACTACGGGTACTTCCTACATTCATGTATTATGTAATTAATCAATTATATCAAAGCATGGATATAGTCTCCACTTTCAGCTAATATATTGTTTTCTTATGTTTGTGCTCTAGATGAAAATGAAAATAACGACAAGTTTGATATTCAAGGGACGGGTGATTCAGATTCGTTGAATGTTAGTCATTGTTTTGATGGTTCAAGTGATCTTTGAAGTGATCAACGATTCGGGCTTATAGATGAGAACGATGAAGATGAAATTTAACTATTCAATCTTTTGATATTTAGCCCTTGTTTGGTCCACATTAATATTTTCATTTTCATTTTTCTATTCATTTTCAACCACACATTCTTCAATAAAATAATATTTTCTATCACATCAATAATTTTTTTTTTCAACCACGTATTCTATATCCATCACATAAAAAAATACATTCTTCTACCCAAAATGTGCACCAAACATGGGCTTAGTGCACTTTTTGAATTCAACTATAACATGACATTTTTCTATTGGAGAACAACCTGATGTGAAACTTTAAAGTTTTAACTATATAAGTTTTTAAGTTGACATTGTTAATTACTTTAAATTATGAACTTATTTTACATTACGTAATTGGATTGAGTGGGACATTTTGTTGATTCTATTTAATTATTTATATTAATTTTATGCACGAGTGCTTGTAGTTTTTGTGATTTCAAAAAACATGCTTTCATTTGATGATCTTTTGTAAAATTATTTTTTTAAAAAAAATTGGATGGATCCTTGGTTGGTCCGACCTTTCGACCCTTACTGTTCTCCGGATCAATGATCGGGTCGATTTTTAAAACATTGATAAAAATAAAGAAAACCCCAAAATATTGTTGGAATAGTCGTCACCCCACCCCAATTGAGGACAAGATAATAAGAAAATTAATAACTGTATATTAAAATTTTATTTCTCAATTAAGGGATAAGTTCTCAATTTGACAATTTGTGACTATAATTGAAAACAATAAAATACTCAAAACATAATGGAGAGAAATAATAGCTGAAATTTTCATCTCAAACTTTATTTTTTCTTAAGAAACAAATAGCAATAACAAGACATGAAACAAAGCATTTTCTGCTAAATAGTTCTTGTTGAGGCAAAACATCTACTAATTGAGCAACTACATATACTTCACAATATTAAACCCCTATTCAATCACACATTTTATGGGATCCACACGTTTTTATCAACTTTTCAACCCCACATTTCATTAACTTTTATCAAAATCTACTAAACATATGATTTTTAGCAAAACCAAACAAGAGCTAAATATTGACTTCATTCGTGTATACCCAAAACATCATTGGAAGATAAACATACCAACGAAAGGGATAATAGAACATTTTATAGAGCTTCTTCTTTTGGAAACAATACATAAAATGCAGATTGGCCATCCCATATATTCAACATAACATTTTAAAACGACCTACAGAAGAGGACCATCCTATTGATAAATAACAAGGATTTTACAAGAGAGAGGAGGTACCGAGGTAGGCTTTTCAATAACAATTCTAATAACTAAAAAAAGCTTGAATGAATACAAGCGGAGTTTTATCGCAACACCCTGTCATGTCTGTATCTATGAAGGAATAATTTCAATTTCAGGAGGAGATACGAATGAATATTTGTAAAAAAATTCTTTATCTTGGTGACGACGAAGCATTGGGATTGGAGTTTCCTGGACACACATCGGCAAACTTACAAAATCTGCATTTCCAACGCTCCTCTGTTGAAGTATAACTGGCTTCTCTCTCACCTATCCAAAACTCAAGAGAAGACTTAATTTGACCCTTAACCCATTCACAATCATAAGCAAATTCATCATCACCGATCAAGGATTGATCTGCTTGCAATTCATATCTGCACCAAATAATCCATATTCTGAGACTCCACAGAATTAATTGTATAGCAACATAACATAGGGAACTACGTAATGGGACTTGCATAGATGTCTTGAAAACAAAAGGATATTTGTCATCGACGTGATTTTAAAAGGAGTTCAAACTCGCCAAGAAAGTCCCCCTAGTCTATTCTGAAGAAAGGCAAAAAAGGAAAAAAAAAAAAAAAAACTTCAGAATTCCTTTAAATCCCACTTCAAGCTCACCTCAAAGTTAGTAGGCCTTGAGCATGAGGTAGCTGGCAACAACTATTCCGAAAATACCTCACCAGATCGTTCAGAGTCTGAAACAGCAACATAAAATAAGATTAGATCAAAGCAAGCATAAACATTCACGAACCTCTAAAGCTAAACTAAAAACTAATTGCTTCAAATTTGACGTTGTGCTCTCTCTGGCTTCATAAATGAGGGATGCAAATTTCTCTCAATAAGAAATCTTTTTAATTTGTTTACTGATAAAGAGGTTATTCTATTGTGTAGAGGTCATGATGTATGCAAATTCCTCTCAATAAGAAACCTTTTTAATTTGTTTTTACTGATAAAGAGGTTATTCTATTGTGTAGAGGTCATGAGGTATGTACACAGAAAAGCCACCAGCTGTTACCATAGTATGCAACCAATCATACGCTAAAAAGTGGGCTCTTCTTCAAGTATTTTGTTTCGTTGCAATTGCACGACGTCGAAAACTGTAGATGGAAAATTATTCCTCACCTCTGAAGCAAAACCAGATTTTGCCGTAGTTTCTCTAATTTCCGCAGATAAAATGCAATGAGGATTCAATGAAAAGAAATCAAAAAATTTTTGTACGGGAAATTTATCATCAACTAAACTGTCCCATAGATGCTTGTAGCACATTAACTGAAGCCTGCCCAAGTAAATTTTGAACACATGAGCAACAAGTACAGCTAAAAAAAGTTTACGAGCTTCAGCATTTAAAGAAGTAATCTACAAGCCACTGATTATACCTTCCATTTCTTTGCTGAGGTTCACTTGGAAGTTTTGCTTGCACACGAGTTTTCGTGTCAACCAATGTTGCATATCTTTCAGACTCTGACATACGGATTTCATCAATTACTCCTACCATCCATATGCCTTCTACAAAGCCTACTCTGAAGGTACAAGAAGTTGCAAGTCTATGAGATCGTGACACACTAAACCCATAAAATTTCTAATTAATACTGCTTAATCTAAATAAGTGAAAAACTTTTACTACTGTGAAAGACACTGCACCTCACACAATTAATTCAACTTACCTCCGAAGTAATAAGTTTCTTGCTTAATTCATGGTAACGAATTTTATCAGACAAAGCTAAAAAGACTACCCCTATAGGGCAAATAGAAGGATCGGTTGTTGCTTTGTCAAAGTTCTGATTCCTAATAGAATGTAAATCCTATCTGGTACGGCAACAACTATGTTTTCTCGTTAACGTCATGGCAAAGGTGGCCGCTTGCTAAGCAATGAAGTCAAGCAACTATGTTCTCAAGAACAGATTTTTCTATGTACATGAAGATGCAGTCATGGTTTTCATGTGCCATTCACTGCAAATGTGTCAGAGCGTTCTCTCGTACTGATAGGAGGAATCGTGTGCCTCCACAGAAATTCAGGCACCCAAGGGATCATATCCGAAGGCAGGACAAGCACTGTGCTCAGGTGGACCACTGACTGCTGCCTGCACGCTTAAAATCTGCTCAATCTTGCTCAATTATTAGGCTTTAGAGCCAATTTTTCTGTAATTTTGTTTATGGGGTTTTATATATCTTGCTTTTTCAGTGCTTCCTTGTTTTAACCTTTATTATAAAATTTAGTTTTATAGCATTGGAACTAAAAAATAAATAAATAGTTTTCTACACAACTTGGAAATTTAAGGTAATCATTTATCTAGCCACTATTGATGCAAATATCATCATAAATACAACCATTCAGCTGCAAATCAAGCAACAAACAAATCAAACTTACATTGGCAACTCGCGTGTCAATCCATCAAAAATCAGTTGATTTGCTCCAATTATAAAATTCACAAATTTTAGTGCCCACACATCTTCATTTGATGAAACATGAACTTTTACTCTTTTAATAACCTGTCCACAATCACGAGAAATCAGACAATACTATCGACAATAAAAGACTTTAAATACAGTTACCAGGTACAGTCCAACATATTAACACTTGAACCAATAGCACGAAATTTCTGCTTTTGCAATATCAAAGGATAGTATCGCAGATCAAAACCTAATTAATAGAATCACGAGATGATATTTTTTGTCCCGGAATACATGGCATCATGGAACAAACTTTGACCAATAAAAAATAAAACATATTTATTTTTGAACTTATTTACTTATAAGTGAACTTATAAGTAACAAGTTTTTAAGCATAGCCAAACATGCTTTTAGCTTAGTAATGGAGAAAGCCTATGGCAATTAAGGAGAAGGAGAAATGTACAAATAGAGAGCAAATATAATCATCAACAAGATCAAGTTATAGGTGGGAATTCGAGCTGGAGAAACTACAAATATCATTATCCAAGGCAATTACACCGTGTAAATGCAAGCATTATGTACACCAGCAAATTGCAGTAATATTTAAACACCAGAAATTCATTTTACGTACAGAATTCACATGAAAGTGGTGAAGATTGAACTCAATCCAATCAATAGAATATACCAATGATTTGATGAAGATATCAGTTTGTGCATTAACTCTTCCTTCAAGAAACAAAATAAATTGATATGAAAGCTAAATCCTTGCTCCTTAATTCGAAGTGAAACCACTCAACAATTCGTAAAAAAATTGTAATTCAATCAACAGAAATATTAGTTCACCAGGATAAGAGTTTATTTTATACCTCTTCTTCGAGTTCCACATGGCGAGCACTGCCTGCTTTCATAGCTTTAGTCTTTTCTGGTTTTCCAAAGAGTAGACAAAACTCCATTTGCTTTTCACACCATTCCTAAATTTTGCATAAAACACAGATTTCTAATTTATATTTGATTTTTCCCAAAAAAAAAAAAAGGAAAAATAGTTAAAAATAGAAAAGGAAATGCTAAGTTTTACCGTGGCAGTAATATCTGTAACAGAGAGACCTCTATTCCGCCGGAACCTATGGAGAAACGAGTCGAGACCTCTGTTTCTCTTCTTCAGGGGGCTACTGTCCGACCCGCCAACGCGACCCGAGTCCTCAATATCAGGCGAAGACCCGGTTGCCGTACAACCCAAAAGTGTGCGTTTGGATAAGCGAGTTATCGACTGAATGGATCTCTGATTACGGGGGAACTGGGCAGCGGCGGAGGCGAAGGCAGCATCGATGAGCGCCATTTCTTCTTCGCTAATGATTTCTCGTGGGACTTTGGTGGCGGTGGATGAGGTTGAGGAAGGGGGAGGGGATCGAGTCGGTGACTCGGCCATCTTGTGAGCAAGTCGGCGAGTTTTGATCGATATGACCGTTGGATTCGCAACGAATACAGGAGGAACGGTGGCAATATAACATGTTTGTAATTAGAAGGAATGCGTTGCGTGTAAATCAATATACTAAAATGCTTGAGTACGAGTGAGTGGAGATGCTTTTAATTTGTCACATCTGATTTTAATGTTAAACTTTTTATCTAAATAAAAGGTAATTGGCGCAAAACGTCCCTACCTATGA